GCCCCTGTTGGATTGGTGCTTTAAACACCTGATTAGTGTGCTTAATGGGTAATCCGGTACAGAGTGAAAGTAGAAGTAGTAGTAGTAGTGAAATAGTAGAAATAACAGTGTTGTTCTTTGTAGTAGTAGTAGTAGTAGCAGCAGCAGCAGCATCACCAGAAAGAGGAAGTGGAGTAAAGAGTTGTAACAGACAGAGAGAAAGAATTGCTACAAAACCAACATCCATTTGCATTTTTATCTTTCATACCCGTGGCCCTGAGCCAAATATCAGAGAAGTGAGCGCTTGTACTGAACAATGAATTATCTTTGCTTCAAAATAAGCATGCAAAATATAAATAGAATATTTTAATGGGTTAATTAAAAATAAATAAATGTCAAGACCACAAGTTTCCCTCAGGTAGTTCATCTGGCTGGCATCATGTTATTAACAAGTTGCAAGGGAATTTGACCAAGAAACGTGGTCCTGTTCAAAGCCTTTTGTCGACACTATCCTATTGATGTTGTTTGCATATGTTCTTTCCTTCTTTCTCCGTAGGTAAAGTTGTTTAAATGGTTTTTTGTCTATTTTTAGTAACAGCGGTCATACTTGATGGAAAATCACCATTTGGGTAATCTGAAAGCCTGTCCATCTAAGATGCATTTTCTTAATGTTTATATTGTAAGAGCAGTTTTTCAGAAGAACTTTTACGAGATTTATATTTAGCATCATCGGCCATATTTGATGGTGAATTAGCATCGATTGTAAAAACAGAAAAATCCACTCATGCCAAGACGCTTTCTGCCAAAGATGTTGAGAGGTTTTAGGGGATAAGTCGTTTACAGGAGTTTTCCATTTCCAGTTTGATTTTATTTTTTGCAATTGTGGCCATAGTTAATGGCCAATCTGATAATATACATAAATTTGAAAATTCTTATGCCAAAACACTTGTCAAATTTCGTCAAATCAGCGATTTTTGAGAGAAAGTCGTTTAAATGTTTGTCTTTTTTGAGTAGCAGCTGCCATGTTTTATTGTGAATTAGTATAACTTATGAAAGAAAATGAAAGTACTTTAGGTCCACATGATTTCTGTCAAAATTGGTCAAATTTTGCTGAGTGGATGTTTTAAAGACAGTTTAAATAATTTTTGATTTTTAGCATGTTATGTACGTCTATATTTTTGAAACTCTTGCTTCATAATTGTGTCTATATTACGTTTAGTTTGTTTTTATTACTGGGAATAGTAACAATTAGCTGCAGTTAGTGAAACTATTAGATGGTTATTATTATTTTTTGCCAACGGTTCAACATTCTATTTAAAAGATATTTAGAGTGAAGATTGTATAGGATCTATAAATAGTTGCTGACTTTGGATTTATCAACATCAATATAAAACCTGTTGACAACCTTGGTGTACTTTCACATTGGCTGATGGAGTCAGGTGGGTTCGTAGAAGAATTAAGTTACTATTTCCAATTAGATGGATTAGGTCAGGTGGGTTCTTTAACGAGGTGGTGTATTGGCGAAAAGTCGCGTAGCTAGTAGTAAAATCCGTTTTCAATCCTTGTTCTTGTATATAAATACATGGAGATATACAATTTTAGGCTGTCTTATTTCTTATGTTCTTGTTATATTATCAGTCTTTACATTTAATAATGCTACTTTGTAATATTTAAGTACACTTCTCGAACACACAGAAGCTCCCATTTTATCAGTTTGCTGCTTTAGAGAGCACATAGTTTTCGTAAGTAGGTGGGAAAAAATGTAAATTTTCTTAATATTGCAAGATTTTTGTAGAGTAAACACTTTTGCTTTGTGCCAGACCATATTTCAACGATGTTCCATAAAACATGGAGCCGATAATGAGGGACTAATCTGTGCTGTTATTGTATGCTTTAATGCTGGTTGTATATCTGAACATTTTAAACCACAAGCATTTAAACAGTCCTTCTACACGATCATCATCCATTTCTTCCATAATAATATTAAGATGAGAAAACTCTGTCTTGTTGTTTAGATGTTTTCCATCATAACCTTCTTCTCATTTCTGGCTATGAGAAGGGATTTATCGCTACTTTAAGAGAAGCCTTGACTCTTGATCAGAGAGGAAGAGAGAGAGAGAGAAGTTCGGCTCTCTTAAGATAAGGTGTCACATATGATGGTGTAGATACGGTTACATCTTTTTGTGAGGCAAGCTTTGGCTACGAGAAGGTACCAAGAATCTGTAAGAAATAGACACGACACTTCTCTGAGCCTGAAATCGCACTTTATTTATATATATATATATATATATATATATATATATATATATATATATATATATATATATATATATATAAAATTAAAAATACAACATGGAAATTTATTTATGTTGAAACTACATACAATACATATTGCAATACTTATTAAATAGTTCTTCCACAATCTACTATTTCATTTGTCCATTCATTTCTCTGCATTTTGAATACAAGTGATTTAAATATCCAAAGAGCCTAAAATTCAATAACTGTAATAAATGTATTTTATTCTATTTAATGTAAGGTAACGACCTGAAAAAGATCTGTGAGTGTTATACTTATTATTTAAAGAATATATATTTATTCTCAATTAAATTATAACATGAAGCTAGTAATTATTTCAAACAAATACTAATGAACATCGAAGCTGTAAAATATTTCATTACATTATGATTGTGGAAGAAGGAAACTCAATAATATTACATTATAAATACAATGAACATCAATTCAGTAAAATATCAAATCAGTAAAATATTTCATATTAGAAAAGAGAACTCACTATTACATTATATTGATAAAATAAAAATAATTCAGAAGGATATTACAACTTACTATAAAATCTTTAACTTTTAAGAGCGAGTATAAAGCATAATATTCTTACCTGTAAGAAATAGACACGACGCACTCTGAGCCTGAAATCCCACTAAGATCAAGCAGCCCAAAGCCTTTTTTTATATCTTGGAAGCTGCTGATCATCAGTATTTTCATTCAAGGTCAGAGAGGTCTGTCTAATGAACTATGCCTATGTTCTAAAAAGTCACGCGTGTTTCTTGCGTGATAGTCAATGACAGCTTTCACTTTATATCAAGTTTAGGGGGGAGAGATAGAGTGTGTGTTTGTGGTCAGTAATTTTCCTAAGTGAACGACCTTTTGAATCATACATTGTCTATAACCTTCCTAATTGTAAGTGGTCATTCACATTCCCATCTAATTTCCCAGACTGATGATCAATTACTTTGTTCCCAGTATCACAACGCAATTAATAATGTTTTATTGATTGAATTGTTTTCGTTGCCCGTTGCTGAACTTCCGACCCCGGCTATTAATTAGGTTTTATTCATTACCAAGTCAAGCTGAGGAAACAAAGATAATGTTTAATCTGAATTCATTTCAATGTCCTATTATATTCAGGATATGAATTATTGATTGGGCCATGCTTCTCTTACAATACAAATCAATATCAGGTTTTGTCTTTCAATAACTTATAAATTTCAATATATTCTACACAAGTCACTGTTATCGTTTCTTTCTTTTAAAATTGATATCTTGATAATAATGTTGTTCATTATGATCAAGTCCTCACTCAAGCACACATATATAGTGTTGCATTAGGAAAAATCGGTGAAAATTGTACATCGCATTTTTCATAAAAGTAACCAATAAAAGACTATAATAGTGCAAAATTTGGCAGAATAGTTCTATAAATAATTGCACTGTACATTCAGCCGGGCTCAGCGTAACACATAAAACTAAAGTTTGACGTATGTGTTAGACTCGCCATAAATAGCTGATTGCGAAGAATACATTCGCTTCTACTTGAGGCATGAATTGAAGTTTAATTAAGGCAAGTTTGGTTAACAATTAGAGCCAGACATGATTATATTGTTAATGTAGGTCATAGCAGTACAATGTCAAGAGTTTAGATGATCCAGAAAATATTTTGGGAAATTGTGGTCCATTTGAAACAGGTATCATAAAATGATATTCTCCGGAATAGCTATCAATAAAGGTGGACTGGAGATGATTTTTCTGACGTCAAGGAGAGTGATACAGATTTTAGGCGAGAAAAGAAGTTATTATAAGCTAAATGAGCGGGTTGTGTATTCTCAGACTGAATCCATGCTTTTAAAATCATCCCACAGAGAGAGAGAGAGAGAGAGAGAGAGAGAGAGAGAGAGAGAGAGAGAGAGAGAGAGAGAGAGAGAGAGAGAGAGAGAGAGAGAGAGAGAGAGAGAGAGAGAGAGAGAAGAGGTGCTATGTGATGCTGTCATGCCGGCAATCTGAGTTCGATCAGACATTTGATCAAAGGATGAAAATTGTTCTATTAGTGCAACACAACAGCTAAGAGAAAGAGAAACAATCACATGTCATGCTCGATTTCATTTTGTTTGTGTGGTTGGTTAAATTATAATATTTAACATACAGGAGTTCGTGTTATTCTGTGTTATATCTCTAATCAGATATCTGTTATTAAATCCTTTAATTTTATATTTTATCATCTCCTTGGTAACGATAATCAAAAATCATAAGTAGCGTGGGAGATCACATATTTCCACCACCACACTGACAGACAGAATGGGACATGGAACTTACCGTAATTTACTCCTTGTTTTGAACTGGAATGGAATGGATTATGTTCGCAGGGGGCAATGATCAAAGTGTGAAATGTTAGCATTTTTCTGATATCATTATATCAAAGACAGCCTTTTTATAATTTTGCCCTTAATTTTATTACTAAAGAATTAAAAAACAAAATTGATTCTTGAAGTTACTTATTTTAATTCACAAGTTTTACATTTGAGCTGATTTTATTTTGTATAATAAAACGCTTAGTTAACCCATAAGAAAAGTTCAATGCTACCTCTAGGTATATTGTATAAGGAAGTGAAAAGTCAGTCTCTCTCTCTCTCTCTCTCTCTCTCTCTCTCTCTCTCTCTCTCTCTCTCTCTCTCTCTCTCTCTCTCTCTCTCTCTCTCTCTCTCTCACACACACACACACACAAAACCGCTCCAATGGCCTAGTGGTTAGAGCGGCCGCCTCGGATGAGGGAGGTTGTGGATTCGAATCCCGGTTGAATCATACCAAAGACTTACAAAAATGGTACTAATAGCTGCCTCGCTTGGCGCTCAGCATTAAGAGGTTAGTGTTAGGACTGGTCGGCCTGGTGTAAGGATAATGTGACTGGGTAGGACATCATGCTACATGTCTGCAGCATGATGTCTCAGTGCTAGACATCACTATAAACTGCCACACTGCAAACATCGTATCGATATGACTGAAAAATTGTTAATGCTACGTTAAAAATCATAATCACATCACATCACATCACATCACACATACACATACACATACACATACACATACACATACACATACACATACACATACATATACACATACACATACACACACACACACACACACACACAATGCCTCTAGGTCTGTTGTATAAAGTAGTGCAAAGTACATTTCATACACACAATGATACTTCAATGTATGTTGTACGATGAAGAACAAAGTACCTTTCTTGCACAACGCTAGTTTAAGGTCTGTTACATGAAGAGGAGCAAAGTGGGTGTGGCTATCTATTTAAGATGTAACATCACTAGTAATTGATCATTTTTTTTTTAAAAATATAATAACATGAAAAAGAGACAAGTAGTTGCAAAATTTTTCAAACTTATCTTAAAAGTTTTTATTTAAAAAAAAATATTTTCTTTAATGATCGTCCTTTTTCATGCGGGAGCTTCATTTATAGACAACTGAAAGATTTCTGTGAGGACGCTCACTATGAAAATTGGTAAAATTCTCGAGGAATGGTTTGCAGGTGATGTTTAAATATTCCTATCTGTAACAACAGCGGTCATATTAATTGGCAGATATAAATCACTGGCAGGAATTTGAAAATCTCTTACTGTCAAACTTTGGTAAAATACTGATGAGCATTTTTTTAGAAAAGGTTATGTAGTGTGGGTATGCGGTTCTTCTATTTTTAGTAACGGGCGTTGTATTTAACTTCACATCTGCATCATTTATACAAATTTTAAAGACTTCCAGCAAAGGTTAATTATTTTTTTTAAATGAAAACTCTAGCAAACTTTCTAGTTATGTGACCTTGCCCCGTGAAGTGTAAAAGGGTACTGAATATGTTGTAAAATAAAACGTATTTGCTTTGTAACGAGGCATTTCTAGTAGGAGGAGTTGAGGAGTTTTGAGTAGATCAGAAAGCAACCATGCTATAAAACTGTTGACGAAACAGTCGCCGCGGCCAGAAAAGTCAGTCTCGCGTGTTCACTTGATATATGTTTGACGCAAAGAAAGCAAGATTATGCAAATCCTAACAAATCACAAACTAAAACAAAACTTTTACTCTCATTTATTGATGCAGAAAATTTGTCCATTAATAAATGATGATTAGACAGTAAAAAAATCAGGAAATCAGAGTGAAATAGTTTATCATCAGACTTAAATATTTTTGAAAATGCAGCCTTGAAAGTAAGGAAGTAATATAGCTTCACACATTCACACACACAGACACACGCACACACACACGAATAGATAGAACTTACAATGATGTTCTAATAAATGAAAACCAAATTGAAGAAAAACAATAAAAACAAATTTCATGAATATGTCGGTTTGAAATGAGCATGAATATGGAAACTATTATTTTGTGTTAAGCTTCGAAACGCTTATTTCTTTGTATATAAATGTAACTAACAAATGGATGCACGTAAAAATATCTGCTTGTATAATACATAGAATCTTAAACGTTTCTTTGCGGATCCAGTTAGCTTTATGGAGTTAATTTCATTCCCCATTGACGGGGTTCTATAAAGACGAGCGTCTCAGAACACTAGGTTAACCGGGGCCACTGATTCTTGGAGATATATGCCAAGCAACAGTGTAAAAAAGGGTTTATACAGCTGACATCAACAAAAATCTAGTAAAGTCGCTGACTGGTTGGCATTGGCATTCTTTATAAAAGCTCATATCATATAAATGAATAATTATTAGATTTGTATTAGACAAACCAACATGCATCAGCAATATAGGTGTTTCATTTCGGCATGAAAATCTTGCAAAATCGTTCGACTGCCACTGTACACTAGTACACCTTGAACATGAAAATGACCCGATTGGCCTGTTTTCCACTAATACATTAGACCACCTCTAAAGTATATTATAAATATGATTTCATTTTTCGCTGATGCACAAAACCGGTGCTTATAAACTTAAGACATATATAGTTCATTTTTTGGACGGAAAAATATTTTTAAAACAATAACTGATCGACACCTTTAAGTAGAATCAATTGTACAGACCTTTACCAGACTATTAGTTAGTGTAGATATCTCGGAGTCACGTGAGAGTCAGGCTAAACAGATTACAAACTGATTTTTGCTGATGCGTTTTGTTTGTCGTTTTGCAGCACAATTGTTTTACTGACAACTGCGTCATACAGTCTCGTGAGAAAGTTTATCGTCACCATCTTAATGAAACTTCGAAATTCCGTACAGATTACCCATACTACACCGCGCCGAGATGAAGTTACCAAGAAATCTCGGAAGTTGAGATGGAATTTCCAAACTGGCCGTATTGGAGAAGAACGTCAACGACTAAACCACTCGAGAGTTTTAATCTCTATTATTTACCAGTCTGCTTGCCAATTTAGGCCGGGTACCAGCCATCACTATTGCATGGTGGAAAGATTTTCCTGCCGAAGCAAAGATCTGTTCTATATTTGCAAGTTCTGTTTTATGAGATGAAATACAAGCAAACACTTAATGCCTCGTGAATGGTTTATGCGTAGCCTAAGTGACCAGACGTCAGAGTTTTCAGTGCAGTATTTACTTGGTCTTAGTCCGCTCATAAGGTTTCGCTACGCGTGTATTATACATGCTGGCACAGACGATCTATATGAAGCATGCCAACAACTATATATTTCTCTGAAGTGAATTAGACCTTAATAAATATTAAAATAAATAGGTTTCTCTACCAATCAACGCTTTTATAAGAATTTTGGTTAGCTTCTCTTAACTTCTCATAAAAAATGCTTGTTAGGTGCTACGCTAATTTTAGTTAATTGTTGTAAAAACAGAAGTTGTTTTATAGAGGTGCAGGTAGATTTTAACTCTCATTGGTTAGGTACCAACCTCTTAGCTCCAACCCCGACTCATCTTTCTGATAAGCTGTGCAGGCAGTACTGGTACGGCGTACCTGATAGTTCCGGTTTACTTTCTTCACTTGTGTTTTATATAATTATTTGAACGTTACAATCGTTGGTACTCTTAATCGGCATTAGACAGTGTAGCTTTCATTTGTTTGAATACAACTGTTTCTTGTGGGCGATTGTGGAGTGAGTGGGGCCGGCTTTTACATCCATAAAAAATTGTTACTGACAAATCACATTATATATATATATATATATATATATATATATATATATATATATATATATATATATATATATATATATATATATATATATATATATATATATATATTTGTGTTTATGCAGTGATGAAGTGTCATTCTCGGCTAGAAAGCATATGGAGGGTTCATCATACATATAATTGATAACGTGTATATATATATATATATATATATATATATATATATATATATATATATATATATATATATATATATATATATATATATATATATATACACACATATATGTGTGTGTGTGTGTCTAACTTAGAACAAGGAAAATTAAAAAGGAAGAAAATAATCGATATCTAGGACAGATTGTATTGCGTATTTTTGTTGATATATTGTCGCCTGACTTCTCGTTTGTTTGAAAATGGTGACATGTATTTGTAGCTAATTCATATAAACCAGTAATGAAGTGAGTTTTACGTCATTATCTCTGGATTAAACATTACTGATTTCCTTAATGTACGTTTACCAAGAGCCGAGCCCTCTTAGACGATCGAGGTACTATCTATCTTTCCTTGAAATCTGAGGAAAAATCATTTAAAACATATTAACATTTGCTGTCTCCGTGACTGGTGTAATATTCACTGCCTGTGCAATTTCAAAAACTGAAAGGAGAAGAGCGTGTTATCCCCCTTCATGAGTTACGTAAAATTGTCACGAGACTTTTCATTTGAATAATACCTAGACGGCAGAATAACGTATACCAATTGTTTAGCTGGGATATTTTCTACTATGTATGGAATCTGTCGAATCTGTAACGAATGCAAATGCTGCTTAGTCCAAAAATGTCCAAAAACGTGTCTAAATTGTTTGCCGCCAATTTTCAGGGCAGGATAGGCTATACATTTTGGAGAGCATAACTAGTGCAGGAAAAGCCTGCCCACGTGAAGCTACTGACGCGCTTTCTCACATCCCTACAGTGGCCGAGCCCGGGACTCGAACCCACTCGGACAGAGGTAAGATGGCAGTGATCGGTGAAAGCAAGCTCTTTAGATCACTAGACAAACAAGATCCCGATTTTATTTAACAAAAAGTTACACTGACAGTGTGTGTGTGCTTTGTGATTTTCATATTTTAAGGTTGCTATGGATTTTCTTTAAAAACGAGTTCATTTAAGTTACATTATCATTGTATTACCGTAAAAATAAATATTTGGAAAAGAAAACCCATTAACGCCTTATTAAATGTTATTTAAGCAGTAATATTTGTTTATATTTTTTATTGTTTCCTTCTCAAAAAGCAAATAACTTAAGCAAACTGATGGATAATTTTCAGAAATTTGAAGGGAAGAAAGAATTGAACATGTTTGATAAAAGACGAATGGACGGATCGATGCAAGAACACTCGGACACTGCTTGACTTTATTTCTGCTGGACTTATACTTTTAAAATGCTTCCTTTAAGTAAAATAAAATCCTTTAAGTAAAATCAAATGACCTCATGTATATTGTATAAGTTTTAAAGACTTAAATTCAAACTTTTCCTAACAAGCTCTCTCAGATTTCTAATTTAATTCAAACTACAAATAAATGTACGCATATATTTCTCAATGAGAATAATGAAAATATATCTCAATATATTTCTTACTCGACCAACAATGCAAATTCACGAATCTCTGATACTAAGCGATGTCTT